CAAACCACAATCCCAGAAAACTTAGACAACAATGAGGACACTAAGAGAGACTTAATAGATCTGATCCACATGGGAAGTAGAAAGTATAAAAAGATCTCCTGAGTAAATTGGGAGTATGCAGGCCTTGAGGGAGGATTGAAGGGGGAAGGGAAGAGGCAGGGAGGGGAGCAGAGAAAAATGTAGAGCTCAATAAATATCAATAAAAAAATTTTATTAAAAAAAATTTAGGGCCTCACTCTGTAGCCTAGCCTGGCTTTGAACCGAAGGAGATCCTCCTGCCTTAGCTTCCCAAGTGCTGGAATTATAGCTGTGTGCTACATACCTATGTCTTTTTGTGTGACAGACAGACTTTTCCTGGGAAGATGAAACACACGTGTCTACTAGCCCCAGATAGGGAGCCCACAACAGATCAAAGTACGGACACCACCAAAGTCCAAGTTGGTGAACTAATGAATTTTATTGGGGTTAACTATCGGGATGTGAGTGAGGGGTTACGTACAGGAGTAGAAATGAGCCACAGACAGCTGTGTTACCCTAGCACAGGCAATAGCTCACCAAAGCTGAAAACCTGGAGCACGGCCCACAGCCTGCAGATGGCTCAGCAGGTTGGAGAGTGTCCCTTCCAGGCTGCTCAGTGGGGCTCTGCTTCCTTCCTCGCCTCTTGGCTTGTCTGAGAGGGACTCTTAGTCTTTATTGCTTATTCTTGTGAGGGAGGGGCCTAGTGAATCTGGTCAGTTTTAGTTATTTCCTGAAGCTATTTTGAGTAGTTAATTTTCTATTTTTAGGAGCTTCCCTGTATGGTGAACTATTTTAATCTAGCAAGAAACTATTACACAATTCTTGGTCTCTCTCATTAGATATTGTGTGTGTGTGTGTGTTTTGGTTTTTGGTGTATGATTTCGTTATGTGCTTCTAGATAGCCTAGAAAGCAAACATTCAGCTTCAGCCTCTCCAGTTCTAGGGTTCCGGGTATGTTTCACCATGTCTATGTCTCACGTGTTCCAGGCCCACCTGAACTACCTATGTAGGTAAGGATAACCTTGAGTTTCTGATTCTCCTGACTCTACCTCCTGAGTGCTAGGATTATAGGCAAAGGCCACCATGAGAGTTGCACTTGCACTGTGCTGGGGATCAAACCCAGGGCTTTGTGTAGTCTAGGCACTCTACCTCCTGAGCGTCGTCTCCAGCACCCCACCTTTTCCCTTCCTTTAGCTACTTTTCTATTGCTATGAAGAGACCAGGACAAGCCGGACAGTGGTGGCGCAAGCCTTAAGCCCAGCACTCCGGAAGCAGAGGCAGGCGGATCTCTGTGAGTTCGAGGCCAGCCTGGTGTACAAGAGCTAGTTCCAGGACAGGAACCAAAAGCTACGGAGAAACCCTGTCTCAAAAATAAAAAGAGAGAGAGAGAGAGAGAGAGAGAGAGAGAGAGAGCAGGACAAAGGCAAATTAGAAAAGGAAACATTGTGTGACCTGTACCACCTGGAACCACGGTTGGGCAAGGGTCTGGGGAGTAAAAAACACACAGATATGTGGGTCGCTCTTGGATCAAGAATGTCAACTTTATTGTGTTCCAGGGCAGAGAGTTCAAGTGCTCTCCTTGACTAGTGGCCATGCCCTAGCTCTCGGAGTTTTCTACTGCAAGCCCACCAGAAACCACTTCCTTGTAACCAGGCACTCATGAGGGTCTCGAGCTCAGAGCAGCTGCAAGCACAGGAAAACAAGTAGTTTACTCCGGCAGGAAGAGGTCATACAAAGTTCAGGGTCTGAGGGTCTGCAGCCCCTAACAGCTCCCCCTTTTCTATATAATTAGACCGGGCCTGTCTTAGGTTGCAGAAGCACAAATTCACACCTTACCTGTCATCAAGAACACTTGCCTCAGCACGCAAGGCCTCTGTTTAGGTTGATTGTGATAGGCTCTTGGCTAACCTCTCTCTAGCTCACTGGTCTTTTCATAACACCCATACTGCGCTCGGAGGAAGCCAGTTTACTTGGGCCAGCATCAATTGCTTAGTAGCAATATTAAATCCCTGCTGCTGCTGCTGCCGCTGCTGCCACCTGTTGTAGAAGCAGAGCACTAAAAACCCTCCAGCTACAGGAGTTCCTAGGGCGAAAGTCCCAGACCAGCTTTTCAGCAAGCCTAGGCTGTAAAGAAGCCCTTAGTTAGAGAATCTATGGAAGTGGGAGGAACAAGAGTCTCATTCATCTCAATGGACACAGTAAATTAAGAAATTGCATGTTCCATCGTCCCTTGAGATAAGAATTCAACGGGCTGACAGTAGCACTAAGGTCTTGACTGGGCCGGGCGTGGCACAGATATGATGGAAGGAAGGGGAGCAACTCACCGTATGCAAATCTCATAAGAAATCTAACCGCTCTTTTTCCCCCCACCCCTGAGACAGGGCTTCACTATAGTTTTAGAGCCTGTCTTGGAACTAGCTCTTTTTTTTTTTTTAATATTTATTTATTATGTATACAACATTATGTCTGTGTGTATGTCTGCAGGCCAGAAGAGGGTACCAGACCTCATTCCAGATGGTTGTGAGCCACCATGTGGTTGCCTGGAATTGAACTCAGGACCTTTGGAAGAGCAGGCAATGCTCTTAACCACTGAGCCATCTCTCCAGCCCCGGAACTAGCTCTTATAGACCAGGCTGGCCTCGAAATCACAGAGATCCACCTGCCTCTGTCTCCCAAGTGCTGGGATTAAAGGCGTGCACCACCACTGCCCTATCAGCTTCTATCTCTTTTTTTTTTTTTTGAGGCATTATCTCACATATCCTAGGATCCTGATCCTCTTGCCTTACCTTAGCTCCACAGAACTAGGATTCTCAATTGCTAACACGGGTTGCTGTGCAGTTTACTGCTTTCTTCTTTTGTCTCAGACTCTTGACTGGCTGGGATTACAGAGTGCTTACTATCTGATTTCCAGATTTTTTTCTTTTGCTTTTGTTTTTCAAGACAGGGTTTCTCTGTGTAGCCCTGGTTGTCCTGGAACTCGCTCTGTAGATCAGGCTGGCTTTGAATTCAGGGAGATCCATCTGCCTCTGCTGGGATTAAAGGTGTGCCTCCAAACATGGCTGGTTTCCAGATCTTTTAATGATCATTTAGGTTGTTCCTAAAATTTTGAATTTTTAGAAATTTTGGTGGTGCACGTCTTTAATGCCAGTACTTTGGAGACAAACTCAGGGGGAATCCTTGTAAACTCAAGGCCAGCCTGATAAACAGTGAGTTCCAGTGTAGCCAGGGCTACATAGTGAGATTCTGTCTCAAAACAAAATAGCCAGGCGGTTTTAATCCCAGCCCTTGAGAGGCATAAGGATTTCTGTGAGTTAGGAGCAGCTTGGTCTACAAAGCCAGTTCCAGGACAGCCAGAGCTAAACAGTGAAACCTGTCTCGAAAACTAATAAAATTTTAAAAAGCAAAATAAAAAATTGATATGCAAATACTATTCTGACAGCAGTATTATTTTAACAAAAAAAATAAGTTTTTTTTTTTTTTTTTCGAGACAGGGTTTCTCTGTAGCTTTGGAACCTATCCTGGAACTAGCTCTTGTAGACCAGGCTGGCCTCAAACTCACAGAGATCCACCTGCCTTGGCCTCCCGAGTGCTGGGATTAAAGGCCTGTACCACTACCGCCTGGCTTAAACAAAATTTTATGTGTATGAATGCTTTGCTTGTTATGATTATGCACCAGATGTGTCTCCATTGATCTTGGAGTTCAGATGAGGTCGTCAGATTACCTGGAACTGGAGTCAGAGATGGTTGTGAGCCCCCAGGTGGGCACTAAAACTGACCCTGTGTCCTCTATAGAGCAGCCATCTCTCCGGTCTCCTGTATTCCATTAAAATATTTATTTGTAGCCGGGCGGTGGTGGCGCACGCCTTTAATCCCAGCACTCGGGAGGCAGAGGCAGGCAGATCTCTGTGAGTTTGAGGCCAGCCCGGTCTACAAGAGCTAGTTCCAGGACAGGAACCAAAAGCTACAGAGAAACCCTGTTTCGAAAATCCAAAAATAAATAAATAAATAAAATAAAATATTTATTTGTATGAATGTTTTGTCTGCATGTATGTACACCACGTACATATTGGTGCCCATGGAGGCCAGAAGAGGGCATTGGATCCTACGGCACTGGAGTTACAGATGGTTGTTAGCTGCCATGTGAGTGCTAGGAATTGAACTTAAGTCCTCTGGGCGAGCAGTCAGCGCTCTTAATCGCTGAGCCATCTTTCCAAATTCCCCTTGAATTTCATATTTGTAGTTGCCCTTACAAAACGTGTCCAGGCTTTTAAACACTCTAAATCATTTCATGTAATCAAGAAGCAATTTGTTTCATAGATTTCGATTTTAAAGATCAGAAGGTCTGACCCTGAACTGCCTTACTCACGGAATGTTCTTCGTCTACTGCTCTCATTTGTGAGACCCAACCTTACTCCCCCGCACCGCGGTGTAGCTCTGGGACTGGAGATTTACTCAGGGACATCCAGACTAAGCAATCGCTCTGTCATTAATCTACATCCTCAGACTTTATTTGTGGCAGGCAGATACAGTCATTTTCTTTACAAGACGAGGGAGAAAGCCAGGCTGACTGCAATTCCAGAATGCGTTGCTCTACAGCAAATAGGATCATGAACTCGAGGTTAGCTGGGCTGCACCGAGAGGTCAAAAAAAAAAAAAAAAAAAAAAAAAAAAAAGTGAGAAATTGCTTCCAGCTTTAAGCTGTAGCCGTGTGTTAGTGTTGAGACAAACTAGGGCCACGGGGTTCAGGCTAAAAGCCCATCTTCTTTCATGTCAAACGTCACAATCTACAAATCTTAGTAAGGTCTAAGGAACAGCAAGCTGAGGCACGACTAAGTGAAAACCGAGAGAGTAAGGGACCGAGACAGATGATGCTTTCTGGAGAGAAGGTGGAGGGCCAGATGCCAGGGCAGGCGGAAGCACGCCCTCCCCAGTGAAAGTGGGGCCCAGCGAGGGGCCGGCCGGGCGAATCTCGGTTCCCACACCCGCGGATTCCAGGCCTTGACTCGAGATCCGCTCTCCAGCTCAGAGCCCTGGCACCGCCCACAGCGGGAGGCTGGGTCGTACCATTCTGCCTCCGAGGGGTAGAAGCGTGACGGCGCCGGGTCCCGGGGGGCCGAAGGCGAGTTAATTATCCCTAAGATGGCAGCACACACGAGGACATCATTGTGAGATCGATCCGTTTTCCTCCTGCCTCCCGGGATTCTCTGCATCCTCGGGAAGGGCTGGGAGCCCGGACGTGCTCCCCCCTCGCGCGGCCCGACTTGGTACGTGCGCGGGGCGCGCAGGCGGGAGGCGTACTTAAGGCGGCCGCGGGAGGCGGGGCCGCTCAGTCCTCGCGGCGCCTCTTCGCAGTCGCCTGGAATTCGGCTGCTTAGTGGCCTGTGCGCGCGTGCGCGGACATGGCTTCAAACGGTACGTGGGGGCGCGAGACGGCGATGGCGCGTCCCGGGGAAGCCTCATCCCTTCCCGGCCAGACTTGGGGTTTCTCGGCGGGGCCCGTGGTGGCGGGCGAGGGTGGGCTCCCGCACCTCTGTGGCGGGAAGCGGCGGGAAGAGGGAAGGGGAGGGCGGTGTCGCCATTTTGTTTGGCTCCTCCGGTGCCTTTGACGCGGCGCCTGAGGGCTTTCTCCCCGGGCCCGGTCACTCGGGGAGGGGGCCGTGGTGAGGGACGCGGCCTGGCGACCGGGAGTGAGGGGCGCGGAGGCCCTGGCTCGTTGTAGCCTCGCCCTACCCCCTCCCGGCGTGCGGGGCCTCGCTTTGTCGCAGTGCTGCATCCGGGCACTCGGCGCGCGCACGCGCTCCTCTGGCCCCTCCCCCTTTCTCGGCGCGTTTCGCCCCCCCCCCGCCCGCCTCGAGTTGGTTGGGGTTGTTTTTTTTCTTTTTTTTTTTTTTTTTTTTTTTGTCGCGAGACCCTCGGCGGAAGATTGCCTGTCCGGTGGTGGCCTCGTCCTGCTCCCCGGGTCCCTCGGGAAGGGGTGGGGCTGCCCTTTTCCCGCCTCCGTGGCCGCCCGGCGGGAGCAGGGACGCCCGGAACTGGCCCGCGTGTCCGCGAGGTTGCGGGGAATGACCAACGGCCTCCCGGATCCGGCCGGACGCTTTTCCCACTTCGGGATTTAGCCTTCCCGAGGCAGGAAGGAAACCGAAGGAGTCGCTTTCCGAGGCCACACCCTCGCGGCTGTCATTTTTTTTTCCTTGTGCGGGGGCAGGCCCAGGGTTTCCTGCACGGAGCTGAGCCACGCTGCTTAGCGCGTTTAAAGAGCTCTCTGCTTCTCGTGCGCTCGATAGGCGGGAACGCGATCGCCGGGAGTCTCGAGGCTACTCGGGGCCAAAGAGCTTTGCCGCCTTGATTGTTTGGCTTTGTGCTAAAACGCCACTTGGCCTTACGGTCTCCAAGGTTGGTCACGGGGTGAAAAAGTGTTTTTAAAGGTATTTAGTTGGTATGGTGTGTTGCAGGCCTTGGAGAGGCCCGAGAGAACATTTTTTAAAGTTCAGAGATCGTCTGTGCTGTATTTTTGAGACTTTAAAGAAGAAAAAATTTAAGCTTGGCTTACATAGTGAGTTCGGAGATGTTGGAGGTACATAGAGACCCCTGTCGGCAAAAAACAAAAACGAGAAAAATTTGAAAAGTACAGGACCAGTCCCTTGACAGTGTTTCAGATAATAGTAGTTACCCACAGAAACTTTTGGTTCCCCCCCCCTTGGTATGATGCCTCGGGCTGTGTTACATACAGCTAAGCATGGCCAGGGCCTGACTAACTCAGAACCAAACAAAAATCGAAGAATTATTGGTGTCTAGGAATTTGCGTTCTTTCGCTGCCTGTATTAAAACTTGCCTATTTCCAGCTCGCTTTACTTATAATTGTTGTAGATTTATTTGCTCTGGAATGCCTTTTACTTTTGTTCTTGTTTTCGAGACAAGCTTTGTGTAGCTTTGGCTGTCCTGGAACTATCCCTGTAGACCAGGCTGGCCCCCAACTCAGAGATCGACCTGCCTCTGCCTCCTAACTGCTGGGATTAAGTAAGGGATTGCACCACCACCGCCCTTCTTACGAGTGCCTAGTACTTGTTGAATTTCATTGTATTCCAGTCTTAACTGAAATTAACATGATTTCTTTTTCCTTTCCCACTTTTACAGACTATACACAACAAGCAACTCAAAGGTGAGTGTTTCTGGGCTGGCTTTTGTGATAGATAATAAGGGTGATCAGTATAATTTTAGTTATCTGTTTTTGTATGCATTTTTTATTTTAAGATAACTTTACTGATCTGTTTTTTTTTTTTCCTCTGTCCTAGCTATGGGGCCTATCCTACCCAGCCTGGGCAGGGCTACTCCCAACAGAGCAATCAACCCTATGGCCAGCAGAGTTACAGTGGTTATGGCCAATCAGCTGACACTTCAGGATATGGCCAGAGCAGCTATGGCTCTTCTTATGGACAGACCCAAAACAGTGAGTCTCATAGTGGAACACATCTTCACACACTGTTACTGAATGTTAATACCTTCTTAAACCAGAGCAGTACTGAAAATCCCGTATTTTCCCTTATCAATCTGTGATTGTTAAAATTTAGTGGTCAGTCTTTTAAGAAAATGATTTATAATTGCTCCTTTATTGGATGAATTTCTCCATATTTTCATTTTGTAGAAAGCATGTTTCCTAAAGAGAACCATTTTTAGGATAGAAGAAAATGGTTTACTTGAAAACTTTTGGAATTGGGCTAATAGATGTGATGGACAGAGAGGGGGGATTTGCCCTTACGTCCAAAAGGGCAAAAAATACTCTATAGCTATACATGAAAATTCAGTTAGTAATGGCATAGGGAAACCTGGATTTGGGAGAGATAGAATGAAACTGAACTTATATTAAACAGTAAAGTGCCAGGCGGTGGTAGTGTATATCTTTAATCCCAGCACACAGGAGGTGGAGACAAGTGAGAATCTCTTGAGTTTGAGGCCAATTTGGCCTACAGAGTTCCAGGACAGCCAGGTTTACACAGAGAAGCCTTATATCAAAAAAAATCAAATTACAAAAAGGGTGGGGACAGGTGCGTGGAGAGGTGGCTCAGCAAAGTTAATTGAACACATCCTCTAGAAGTGGAGCCAGTGTTCCAGCACCTACACAGTGGCACACAACTGTCTAACTCCATATCAAGGAATCTGATGCCATCATCTGGACACTGATGGCACCAGGCAGGCAAAACACCCTTATGCATAGCCCCAGCAAAGGTTGGGTACCACACGGAGGCGCCCATACATTTAATCCCAGCATTTGGGAAGCAGAAATGGGCCAGTCTGAGGTGGAGGCCAGCCTGAGCTACATAGATCCTGTTTAAAAGAAAAAAAAATTCAGCAACAAAAAAAGATAGTTAAAGTCAAAGCTTTAATAGTAATATTTAAGAGTAATAATAGGGTCTGGAGAGATGGCTCAGTGGTTAAAGAGCACTGGCTGTTTTTCAAGAGGACCTGGGTTCAATTCCCAGCACCCACATGGTAACTCAGAACTCTGTAACTCAGTTCCAGGGGCTCTCATATAGACATACATGCAAGCAAAACACCAATGCACACAAAATAAAAATAAATAAAAGTAATAATAAAATTTCTGTTTTGAGACAAAATGTCAAGTTGGCTAGGCTGGCCAGATACTTGCTGTGTATTTGAGGATGGCCTTGAACCTACTGATCTTGCTTTGAGTGCTGGGATCAAAGGTGTGTATACTTGGTTTATATGGTGCTAAAGACCAAACCCAGAGCTTGTGCGTGCTAAATAAGTACTCTGTTAGCTGAGCTATGTCCCTAGTTTACTCCTCCTTTGCTTGAGACAGCTTTCTGAGTTCTAGGACTGTAGGCGTAAAATGCTGGGCTTGGTGTGTTTCAAGATTTACAGAGATGGTTTATTAATTTTTTTTATATTTATTTATTTTTATTATGTATACAATATTCTGTCTGTGTGTATGCCTGAAGGCCAGAAGAGGGCGCCGGACCTCTTTACAGATGGGTGTGAGCCACCATGTGGTTGCTGGGAATTGAACTCAGGACCTTTGGAAGAGCAGGCAATGCTCTTAACCACTGAGCCATCTCTCCAGCCCCCAATTTTTTTTGTTTTTTAAGGATAGGGTTTATCTGTAGTCTTGTCTGTCCTAGAACTAACTCTGTAGATCATACTCAGACTCAATTGCATTCTAAGAGCTGGGATTAAAAGCAAGTGCCACTACCGCTCCACTCTACAGAGTTGTCCCCCCCACCCCCCACCGGGTTTCCCTGTGTAACAGTCCTAGCTGTCCTGGAACTAGCTCTTGTAGGCTAGGCTGGCCTCGAACTCAAAGGGATTCACCTGCCTCTGCCTCCCGAGTGAGTGCTGGGATTAAAGGCGTGTGCCACCACAGCCTGGTCCAGAGGTTTTTTTAAAAAACTGGGCAGGCATGGTGATTACTGTATTTTTATTTTGTGTGAGTATGTGCATGATTGTTACGTGATGCATGTGTGTGTGGACGTCAGAGGACAACCTAGTATCAATTGTTCCTTACCTAGATGATGGGGCTGGTGATTGAACCTAGGTTGATAAAGACGTTCACAGCAAGTCCAGTTAATTTTTCTTTAAAAAGTAATTGGAAATAGTTTCATTAAGATACCCAGATTGGCCTTAAACTGTGACCTTCCTGCCCCAGTCTCCAGGCAGCTGGCCTTGTCAGTAAACTTAATAGTAGTCTCTAAGATGACTTTCCACCCAGGTAATGGGTGAGTACTGGGAAGTATACAGTATTTTCTTCAAGCTATTCTTTAACCCAGTTCCTTTTTTTTCTTCAGCTGATCTTATGTAGCCCTGGTTTACCTAGAACTGGTTATATAGACCAGTTTGGCCTTGATCGGTGGAGGTATCTGCCTCTGCCTTCCAAATGCTGGGGTTAAAGATGAGCACAACTACACCTGGCCTCGTGTAACTCATTTTTTCTTTATAGCAGGCTATGGCACTCAGTCAGCTCCCCAGGGATATGGTTCCACTGGAGGCTATGGCAGCAGCCAGAGTTCCCAATCTTCTTATGGGCAGCAGTCCTCCTACCCTGGCTATGGCCAACAGCCAGCTCCTAGCAGCACCTCGGGAAGGTAAGTAGTATGGGAGTGGGGTAAGGCCAGAAACTCTTGGTAAATTGTTGAATTTCTGATGAGTAAAGAAAGGGAATGGACTAAAAGTGAAGCAAGCTTTTGATCATTTTGTA